AAATAGTAATTTGTACATTATTAATTAGGTACAATAAACTATTTACAAAACGTTCGTACAGAGGAAAATTGGACAGAAAGCTGAAAATAACTGCGAACTGAATCCTTCAATTCGATTCTAATGAAGCAAGAGAAAGATAAGAAAGTATATTTGAATTGGACAACCAATGTGCTTGTTAACAGTTAAAATAACTTATTAAAATATCTTTATTCGGGGAAAGTAGCTCTCTGTTTACAAACGGGGTTAACGACAGTAATCTACAAAATACCCAAGACGTTGAACCCACTCAAAAAGAAACAATTTGAAAGACGTCTTAATAAAACCATAAAATTGGCAACGTGCCAACAAAATTCGCAGTCTCAATTGTATTGTTTCTTGCTTCCTTCGCTTTCCTACTACTCCTAAATATAAATATTTCTAACCGGATAAACGTTATTATAAGAAGTACTCCGGCCTTTCCAGAAAAAGCTTCGTAATATATGGTCACATTTTTCAGCAAACGTAACTTCGAAGTTTTCTTGATAATTTCCGGAAAATGAGAAGCCCTGACCTAATTCGATAAAGTATTGACATATAAGTGTCCTAGAATAATTTAGAACTACATCAAAAACAACGTATATGGAACACAGACGTAACTCCTGCTTATGACAAGCGAGGTGAAAGATTGTGGTCCATAATTATCATTCGCAGAGCAGGAAAATTAATGCTTGGATATAAATTGAATTATTGAACCTTGATAAACTAACTATACACACTCAGATACAGACCGGTAGGTATACATCAATTAATTCTAAATTAAGGGAGTTAGCAGAGTGTAAGTGATTCACACCAGGGAAGTCGCCATTCTGAGCATGGATTAGGTCAGGCTCAGCTTTATTTCTCCTTGCCTAAATTGCAACACCTAGCCAAGTTACTGAAATTAAAACGCTCTTGTCTGGAAGAACCGCTGCATAATCAGGGAGCTGACTTTATATTCCAGTTCATTTCCATTGACTTTAATAACAAAATTTTGCAGACTATGTTTTTATAACTTTCATTACAGGGATGGTTTTCTTTACATGTGTTTTTGCCAAGCGTTTCTTTTAAAAGGAATCATGTTGATCCCGACTAACAAGTAGCTGCTGATTTTTTTTATGTCGGCTGTGAATTATTTTGTGAGAGAACTGTAATGTTGTTTCTCAATCGAAACTCGGCCTTAAAACTTGATGCACTTGATACTAATATTTCTACCAAAACTGCATTTTCCTTGACTTTTCTAGAAACGAAGTTATAATTTTAAATGCCATTGTAGTTCAAACGGGTTTTTGTGAAAAATTCACAAAGAAAGATATTACGAATTATGCCCGGAATTATGTAACTATAATTAAATTTTCAAAGATCTTTCTACGTTTTTGCTAGCGCTATATTGCAATGTCTTTGTCCACAGCATATTCCTCCGACGCAAAAGTAAAATAAGAGAATCTTTTTAATTAAAGAGCTAAAAAAATTAACCTTTCGTAGCGAGCGAAATCGACCTTTCGAGAAAACGTAAAAATAGACCTAGAGTACGAACAAATAAGTCTCCCGTCTTCGTCTGTCTGTCCGTCTGTCTGTGCGTCTGCCGTCCCGATTTTTATTAGACAGATAATCTCCGAAAGTACTGGGCCGATAGTTGTCAAATTTCCGTGTTGAGTTTTTATCCAAAACCTCCAGATTTTTGGAAACAAAATCAAAATTATAGAACAATTTACAATTTAATTTTGAATCTGCAAAAACGAATTTTTTGTTTAAAATGTATTTGCTCATCCCCCCGAAAAAATTGATGACATCACCTCAAAATTTTGCTGAACAAATCCTACCTAAAACATGCAAAATATGATGAGTTTTTACTTAAATGTGGCAAAGTATGATATGATGTCTATACTTGTGATTTATCACTGCATTAATATTTTTAGATTTGTTTATAAAAAATAATGGCTGAGTCAATTTATTTTATTGTTTAAATCACGAAGTCTACTTTGAAATCCTGCAGACGTTATTGTAAGCATGGTAGCTTTTTAATCTAAATGTATCTGTTTATCAACCCCAAAAAATTGATTACGTCATCTCAAAATTTGGCTAGATAAATCCTATCTAAAATGTGTAAAATATAATCAGTTTATACGTGTAATTTATTATTGCATTCATATTTTTTAGATTTGCTTGTACACGGTGACTCAAAAAAATTAATAAAGCAGACAATTTATTTTATTGAATAAATCAAGAATTGCAAAACTGAATGTTTTGAAATCTTTCAGGCGTTTTAAAGTCCTTGTAAGCATGGTAAATTGTTAAACAAGATAAATCTGTTTATTCCCCTCAAAAACTTCATTACGTTATCTCAAAATTTTGCCGAATAAATTCTACACAAAATGCGCAAAATATGATGAGTTTTTACTTGTGCTTCATCAATGTATTCATATTTTTTATTGATCAAATTAAGAACGAGTCACCCCATTTTGCCGAATATGTGAAAATACAAGCGTCTTTATTTAATAGGAATTATAATAATGATATTTAAAACATTTTGTCGATTCGAGCTTACTACTTAATAGTTTTGCTTCTCTGTTTTGAGGGTACGAACTCATTCAAATCAAACTAATTTTTACGTGACATTCTTCCGATGTACCTTATAAACATAAACACTTTCAAGTTGTTTTTCTTATCGAGGGGGCAATTTCGTACTTTCATATTTTCTCATTATTTCATAACCCCTAGACAAGACCGTAATTAGGGGGAGGCTAGGAGATGCTGAGCCTCCCCTAGATCTAGACAAGTTATAATTAACCACATGTCAATTGCAACATCGAAATAAAATGTAGTGTTTTATTGAATAAGCGGAAGTCAGAGCAATAAAAAAGTCTGGACCGTCGGCATTGTGATCCGATTATTGGAATTCGTAGAAAACATCTTTTAGTTTAGTTTCTGTTTCAGTCGCACCTCTGTTATTAGTTACATACGGCAGACGTGATTAAATTGTTTCGTTATTTTATTGATTATAAATCTCTTTTCAAGGATAACAATAATACAATACTTTTATTATTAGTACTACAATGCATCTATCCAAATTGATATATGCGTCCTTGCAAAAATGTGGATGACATCAACACAAAATTTTGTAATAGAAAAATTCACTTGTAACAAATGGTTAGCACGTTTCTTTACCTTTCCTGCAACATTAGATACATATTTTTATTTCAGCTTATAATGATTGACATAAAAAAGAATAAAATTGGCAAAATCAAATCTTTTAATTTTTCAAAAGAGCTGGTTTTGACAAGCTGTACTGTAGCTTCAGAAGACTTCATTTTTAACACTTCTTAACAATTTCTCTACTGATTTTTGGATAGCTTTTTATGAGGAAGACCTTTTTCATTTTTCTAGTTGTTCGACAGATTGTTGTTCGAGATACACTTTGTATCTTTTTCACATACCTAGGTAAATACGTATTTTAAATTTAACCAGATGTTTACATTTTGATTTTGGTACGTTTTAGGGGCGCTTTTTATTATTTTTCAGAAAAGACCAACTTGGTCGTGAAAAGTTTGAAGTTTAAGGTGGCGTTTTCACTATAATATTCACTGCGCTAAATGATAAAATATTATGTAAAATTAGTTAGTGTCAGATCGTAGTTTTTTAACATCTCATTAGAACATGATAAATTTAAAAACCAATAATCCGAATTGAAAAAATTTTCTACGTAAGTAAAAATAAAGTATAAAATGTAGGTAAAACAGCTGTAATTTGACCCAATAACCGATATCAATATATTATGGCTTTAAGGTCCGTTAGTAATTTATTAATCAAAGCAGAACTAAAGCTGTTCGATATAATCCTCAAGCGATGCCAAATGATGTAAATATATATTTTACCAATATCACACAAACTTTGTAATTGATTCTCTACCTTTCTGTCAATTTGTTGCTGCAAAACATATACAGAAAAATAAGATTAAATTGGGCACAAATTTTTCCTTCAAGGCATTTACTCACAATACATAGAAATTGTTGAAACAATTTAAAGAATTCAAAATAGACGTCTACGGATTCAGCAGAAAAATTACTAAAAATGTGAAAAATTCCTCAATTGTGCCATTAAAAAAAGATGATGAATGAGTGTGTAAGGAAATATATCTTTCCAAAATATCTGAAAGGAATAGAGATTATTACAAAGTACGCTTTAGTTCAATGTCTTCACTTTAATCTGTTTATATATTTTGAGAAGTTTGAAATATATCAGAGCACTTACATTTATATAATTTTTCAAGTTCGTATCATAATTATCCAGTTCGTAACAATGAGATGCAACTAAATTTGTTTACGGCTCAATAAATCTAGAAACGAAGCTATTTTGGTATTAAATTTTACAATGCTTATTCCATATGAATTTAGAAATAATGTTCTGTGTTTCACTTCACTTCACTTTACTAAATACTGAGTAAATGAATTGATCACTTTCACAACACATCAAAGATAGGGTATCTATTCTCCGCCCTATTAATATAATGTTCTTACACATGCCAAAATTTTTCAAAAACTGAAACTTAGTATTTAAGCATTAATTTTAGGTATTATAAGTTGATGCCATCATAAAATTTAAAAAAAAAATCTCACCTGCAACATACAGCATGTACGTATCAAAACTGCTATTTTGCTATCTAGCAAGCATGAAAAATTATCTATTTACAGTTTTGAGATTGTGTTAGAAAGCAGAAAAAAAATTAGCGTTATTGATCTAAAATCAGACATCATACAACAAAAATCTGAATAACAACACTATAAATTTTAAACCTCTTCTTGTTCTTAAATAATTAAAATTTACATTTGGTGGTCCTTTTTTTGTATTTTTTGTCCAGAAACACTTTGCATTAATACATTTTAAATCTCTTTCATAATATATAAAAAGGAAATGGAGGGTAAAACGCAAAGCCAAAGCGCAGGATATTAGGGATAAAATTAATGCAAGAACATTTTCATTTTCAGGTTATTTGGAGCAAGGTCTGTTGGTAACGAATTCACGAAAACTGCGTGCACATTATTTCCAAACGAAGCAATGGAGAAGCGACTTCTTAGCATTGATACCAACAGACGTAGCCTACATATGGTGGCCCCCTTATGAGTGCGACGTTAAAGTGCCGTGTCCGATTATCGTAAGACTGAATCGACTGTTTAAATTGCCGCGTCTTTGGGAATGGTTCGAACGGACAGAAACCGATACAAACTATCCGAACGTTTTTAGAATTTGTAAAGTAGTTTTAGCCATTCTTGTGCTTATACATTGGAACGCGTGCCTCTACTTCGCCATAAGCTATGCGATTGGTTTCGGCATCGACAACTGGGTCTACAATCTAGACGGACCCAAGAACTCCACGCTGGCTAGGCAATACATTTATAGTTTTTATTGGTCCACCCTCACCCTAACTACCATTGGTGAAACTCCAGTGCCTGAAAACGATGCGGAATATTTGTTCGTGGTCGCGGACTTCTTGGCTGGTGTCTTGATATTTGCCACTATTGTAGGTAAGCATATGTAGTTACTAAAAAGCACAAAGGAAAAATAAAGAAAAGTTTATCCTGGATATCTCGGATTCCTGGTTGCACTTTGTTACTATTTCAGAGTAATAAATGTCAAGTTTTCAACAACTTGTGTTGCAGTAGAATCAATGCACAAATTCGGTGTTTTTAGTTCTTTTGGTAGAAGTAAGATTTCCATTTGTAGTAAATACTTCAAACAACGAAGTCCGATAATTATCATATTCATGGTTAACGGCATGTCCTTCAAAACATAAAATGCATCTTCATAGTTACATCTCCCTTCTGTTAACTTTTGCAGGATTTTACTGCACTAATCAAATTTTAATAGACACGACATGAGACAGCTCCACAGTTCCACATTTAATTCTACGGTCAAATTTTCATTAGTCCGTATAGGTGTTCTTTATCTTGAAGTTAAATATGTTTGATTAATTAATAATGCTGGAAAACGAAACAAATTAAGCATAAAAAAATAACTCAAAAGCTCTGTTTTAAATAAAATTCGAAATATTGTCCATTTCGAAACAGATTTTTTTGTATGCTTTTTCTCAGATATATTTGAATTTTAAGCATTTATTAAATTCAGAATACACATGCACATGTGCTGATATTCTACTTGCTATTTTTCCTGCTGACATGAATCAGATCAGTTAAAGTATTCTAGTTAAATATGTTATGACATACTATATTAGAATAATAATACTATTTGAACATTTTGTTCAATCGTGGCTTACTTAATTAATAATGTTTATCCTCTATTTTGAGGCAACAAATTCATTCAAATCAAACTAATTTCTACGAGACATTCTTCCGATATATAAGTATAAACACTTCAAGTTATTTTATTTATTGCTGAGAGGTAATTTTACTTCTTGAGCGTAAGCTAAGGAAGTATAGTAATGGAGTCCATTGGGCGATTTGGTACTTTCAGATTTTCTCCACGTTTCATGACCCCTAAAGAAATTTTTGCCTCCCCTGGACCTAGACAAATTATAATTAACCAAATGTGAAGTACAACATCGAAAATCAAAATAAATTGCAATGTTTTATTTAATAAGCGGAAGTCGAAGCAATAAAAAAGTCTGGACCGTCGGCATTGTGATTTATTTTATAGATTTATAAATCAAGATTCAAAACGACTCTGTCCATTTTCCCGAAAATTTGAGAATATAATATTTATATTATTACATTGCATCTATCCAAATTGATATGCGTGTCCTTGATGATGTAATCACAAAATGTTGTAATGGAAAAACTCAGTTGAAACAAATCTTTTAATTTTTCGGACAGCTGCATTTGATATACTGTACTTTATGGGCGAGGTAATTTCTGTAAAAATAATCTTCGACTAATTTTTAAACACAGATATATTAAAGGCGCTAGACTAAGAGGAAGAGAGTTTCTCAAGGAAATGGGCGTGTGGGGTACACCTGAGAAACTCTTTATTTAGCAAAATTCAGTAAAAGATAAGTAGAGAAAAAATAAAGAAATACAATTTTTTATCCTGGTACCATTTTTTCTTACAGGATAAACCAACGACACCTTTCTTATTAACTATGTACTCTACTTAATTCTATTTTCTAGAAGTTGAAAATTTGAAATAGCCCGACTTTTTTAAATAGAACATTTTTTTAGTTTTCAAAAAACAATTATTAAAAGTTGCAAAGTAAAATCAATATTGTCTATTACAAGAAATGTTTGAAATGACATCCCTTATTTCTAATAAAGGCCGAATCACTGATTGCTGCATCCTAAAGATCATATCGGGAATAGTTCTAATGTCTGGCGCCACTTTCTCAATGCTCAACTGTGTCCAAGCCACAAATGGGGAAACTCCTGCCCAGTACGCCAATCTTTGCACGCTTATTGATGTATGTAACTTAAATTTTGTGACAAATTTCGACTTTTGCCAAATTACTCAAAATGCTTTTTATCTGGTTGCCATTCAGCAGGAATACTCGAAAATGTCTAAATTGTCTGATTCCAAGTAATATTTGTAAAAACTTGATAAAGTACATGGCGTACAAGCTAGAAATTCGTAAAAACAGTTGTCACTTATCAATTATCATTTAGTTGGGAAATTACCTAAGCGTGAAATTGTCCACCTGTTTAGTGGACAAAATACACACCCCAAACAAATTAACGCAACACGTTGACTTTGCGAATTTACTATAAGAGATGTTTCTGTAGGCGACTGTAGCGTTTATAGAGAAGTAAAATAAAGACAAAACGATCAAAAACAAAATTTATTGCCAGAAGTTGGCCTTTTATCTTAGCCATTAAATGTTAATAACAATTCAACACAAACAAAGGTCAAATTAATACGAATTATTTCCACCCCTAGCTCTAATAACAGCCTGCATTCATCGAGGCATACTGTCTATTAAACCCCTAATGTATTCTTGCGGAAGATTTTCCCATTCTTGCACGATGACAGTCTGCATGGCATTAAGATCTCCAAGAACCAATCTACGCTCCTTTAACCTCCATTTCATATTGTCCCATTCAAGTTCCCATGTCGGGACTCCTGGCTGGTCCTGATAGAAGCGGAATTTCAACCTCTTCTAAATATTATTGCACAATGTGGGCTACATGACGCCGTGCATTATCGTGCATATATGTAAAATTTGGCCCTATGTAGGCTCCATAGGCCATGAAGTTCCAAAACATTGGTAATATACCGTGCAGCCGTTAAACAAGCTCCTGGTAGCGCGACAAATTCAATATGTCCGGTGTAGGAAATGCCACCCCAAAACATTATAGAACCTTCTCCAAAATTCACTCGTGGAAGAATTTTGATAGGCAAATATCGCTCGCCCGGTCGTCTGTACACCGGCATACGGCAATCTAAGGAATACAGGTAAAAACGAGATTTGTCTGCAAACAGTATATTGCGCCAATCCTCGACATTCCAATGCTGATGATTTAGCGCAAAGTCTTAACGCGCTACCTTGTGTGCCCTGGTGGTGTTTTGGCAGGTACTCTTGGAGGCATACCAACTTCTCGCAAACGATTTCTTACCGTCTGAGTACACAGCACCACGTCGCGGCCGGGTAAAATCTCTTTTTGAAGCATTCTTGCTGTGCTGTGTCGCGTCTTGAGTACTGCGCAAAAATCGGTCGTCTCCTTGTGATGTTTTCCGTTTACGACCTTGTCCTAGTCTTCTACTCACGCTTCCAGTAGTATGGTACTTTTACATTAGTCTAGAAATGGTCGAACAATCAACGCCGAGCAGATTGGCCACATAGCGTTGGGTCCGACCAGCTTCAACCAATGCTACAGCCCAGATGGCCACTTTTTGCAATAAGTTATGCGTGATGCGACTAGGAACATTCATTATGTGCCAAAATGACGTTTTCAATTCAAACATTTCACAAACATGTGATTTAGTATTCGATATAAAAGTACCATGATAAGATACTTTTTTTCTTTTACTAGATCCATCAGTTACAAATGATAAGGAACTTTTTTTAGTATTTTTTTTTATTTTTTCGGTTGTTATTAACAAATTTGAAATGATGCGTTAATTTTTTTGAGCTGTGTATTTCTCCTACTAACATTTATAACATTATTAAAGAATGTGAGGAAGGCATACCACGCATGAACCTTCCCAAAAGTCGACGGCCCTAGCAGTTGAATAATGTGCGATCAATCACAATCACTGTAAAGATAGCGTAGGAACATCATATCGGAAGCTTGCCCGCAGATTTTATGTGTGCCACATGACTTGAGAACTTAAAAGAAAAGATTTGAATATCGTAAAAGAAGAAAGTGCCCAAAATAAACCCCAGATCAATTATTGAGAATTCCCATATCCTGTCGCACATTGCGACGAAATCATTAACAAGAGAGGGATCATCATGGATGATGAAAAATATTTTATATTAGCCCATTCAGAAATGAAGAGTAATGAGGGATTTTACACTGATGATATGCAGAGAACTGTCTCGATCGTGTGAAATAAAAGACAACATAAAATTTGAAGATAAAATTTTGGTATGGTGTGCAACAGTAGGCAGGCATTTGATTTAAATATGGTCCACACTCTATGGAGCATGTCAGAACGAAACTTCGTAGAATAAAGGACAATGGGTTACTTAATATTTAGTGTCTGGCTCGTTCTTTAGCGATCCAAGTGGTGGACGAAATCCTCTATTTTCTCGGAGACCATGAACAACGGCAAGTTCTCCAAGCGGGGAAAACTTCTCCGTGGAGACGTCGAGCTTCAAGACCGTTTCCAAATACTCTGGCGTACAATTAAGACCATGTCGGTCACTTTGGCATTTGTATAACCTTGTATTTTTTAGGAAAACTTATTTGAAAACACTGGCCAAAAACCGTCAAAAATTTCTCATGGGAAACTTTCTGTTGGTAACCTACGATTATCAGTTTTTAGTTTGAAAGTAAAATTAACCCCCTCCAAATGTTGCTTAACAATTTAGCGAATTGCCGTAAATCAATAGCGCACACCAAATTTTGATTAATTTTTTTTAGCGAAAGAAATTTTATTAAGGTTATTCTGGATTTATGACATCTTCAATTTCACGTTTCTTTGTTACATACTCGTATCTTAATTGTTGTTTTAATTATCAGTAAAGTGAATTATATACAACATTCATGATAACAGCTTTTCGTAGATATTTTACTCTTAAATTTACTTTTTCAACGAATACTATATACTTACTTTGAAAAAAATTATATTTTTAATCACGAGGGCGGTTGGCTTGTAGGTTCCATAAAATCCACAAAATTTCTATTTAGCGTAGGCTGTGATTAGCGCTCGTCAGACATAGTAAATAGAGAGGTAATGTTTATTGGAAAGAACTAGAATAATCTTGCATGTATTAATTGCCTACCCTAAATAGAAATTTTGTGGATCAAATGATCAAATGTAAAATTCCTGAGAACACTTCATTAGCAATACAACGTTTTACTGAATGTTTAGTTTCGTGTTTAATAGCGTTTCCGATTTCATATGTCTATTC